GATCTGACATCCCAAACATAAGGTCCATGAAACTCTCTGCCATTCATGTTAACAATATAGACACCAAACGAAATAACTACTGTACTATGGTGTTACAACTAATAGTCAGAATAAAAAAAACCCCACAGTTATCGTTTTTTGTCATCTATGATATTAAAAAACTGACAGGAAGAAATCGACCGACACTTTAGTACGATTGAGTTAGCAATCTGTGTAAATAAATTAGCTTTGTATAAATTTGATCACAACTTCAGAAACTCAGCTGTAATGACTCTGATTATGATAGTCAATGATTCAGTTTAGTGAAAACAATTTCTTTTACGTATGAAGATATTCATCCGTAAAAACGTTTCGAATAGTATAAAACGATATCCCCATTCAGATCTTTCTTTCAAGTGTATTCAACCAATGAACATTAGACCTATTTCATGACCGGCTATCATCAATGAATTTACAAGAAAACTTGTTTAATTTTAACGATTAAACAAGCACATCGCTATCCAGACTTCATGGCTAGGTGGAAAACACAATGACATTTGTGGTGAATGTTAATGGTCTCAAGTCCCGAGATGAACTTCAACTATGAGATGCAGAGTGATCCATTTGACAAGTCCCAAGTCGGACGAAACACTCATCTCCGATTCCACTGTTATTCATCTATTCTGTCCCATCTATTTTTATCAACCATGTTCAGTTGTGAAGAAGTGCTCACTAAAGACAGTGAATTGATCGAACTTAGACATTAACACCGTTAGATGACGGCTCAGTGGTCTAGAGGTTAGGTGTTCACACACAAAACCAATGCTTCATGTTTCAAAAACCCTATGCAAGTACCAGGAATCATGGATGCACACTGCTGATGAGTCCCACACCAAGCCGAAAGGGCTAACATTGATCGCCTCATGATTCCAGAGAATCTATTTTCTACCGTTTTGTCTTTATGTCGAATTTTATTTCAGTGTAATAATGAATCTTTAATCATGTTCAATCGTTTTTTTCGCTCAATTTGTTTTGTCGTTTGTTATCGGTTTAATTTCATTGGAAAAAATAAATTATTGTATCACATCTTTTGTTTGTCTAAGCTAAAAGATTGTTTTCATTTTTTTCCGTTTTTTTTTTGTTGTAATCTGCACATTTTCATTTCATTGTGAACATGTTCAAATAAATCAAAGTGATACATACATATGTAACATTTTGTTACAAACAATCAGTCAGTCGATTGATTGGTAAATTCTTTTCAAAAAAATCTTGATGATTTTTATAGATTCAATTATTGAATAGATAGATGAAGGCATAAAGTCGGTTGAGTTTTTTTTGTCTGTTAAATTGTGTAAGTTTACAGCCGGTTTACATAAAAATCATTTATAAAAAGGCTAATATTTGTGTACACGTATGTTTAAGAGAAGGCGGGAAAAGAAAAGGAGACAGAAAGCTGATGGAAGTATCTTGTATTTAATTTTAGATTTATAGGGTGAAATGTATTATGTATAGGTGATATAATTTTCAATTAGATAAGTTAATTTTGCATTTTGATTTATGTAAGTTGCTTATAAAAAATACATTGAAATAAACCAAAGTGAGTAGTTAAAGAGTAAAAGTGAACTAAAGCTTGTGCACACGTTTGATCTGAAACAATTGTGAAGGGACGGATCGACAAATCAGGGTCAGCACTTCTGCAAATGAACAACATCTGGAACTCAAAACTCAGTCAGTCAGATGCAACGTAGAACTTCGTACGTAAGTACATCAGTTCATGTTGCCATACCGCATCAGCACTGAGACGCCGTTGTTAATTCAAATCCAATAGTAGTAGAGGTAGTAAAGATATTAGAAGTAATCGGAGAGGTTAGGATTAGAAGATATTATTCAAGAAGTATGATTCAGTGAGAAAAGTTTAGGAAGTCAAAACTAGAGGGGTTGAAGAATCGAGAAAATTAGGATTTGAGAGAACACAGAGAGTAAATGCACTGGCGCCATTGCAAACGGTTTTGAGCCATGTCATTCAAGGTCTCTAACCATCGATCATTATCATCTCGCGGACCCCAACCAGGTAGTCGACAACTACCAACATGACTCAGTCCATTTGTCAATGACTTCATGGATTTCTGCCATGTTTTGCTTTGGTAATCCCTAGCTTTCTTCCAACCGAATCCTACACCATAAAACATGGTTCGTCGAGGCAGTTGGTGGTTAGGCATTCGTAACACATGTCCCAGCCACCTCAACTGATGAAGTTTCATCACTTCATCAATTGATCTGCCATCCTCACCGAGTACTCGTTTCCTAACGACAGCATTGCTTACTTGATTGTCCCACGATATACGAGCAATGCTTCGGATACACCTATGTTCGAATACTAGTTACCTACGAACATCTACTTTTAACGGCCATGTTTCGCATCCATATAGAAGAACGGGGAGAACTGCTGCGCAGTACACCCGTCCTTTGGTTAGCAAACGGATATCTCGCCTACAAAGTAAATTGGAAAAAGCAAATCGGGGCTTCTGTATCCGCGCTGTGATTTCGTCAGTCACCAGGCTGTCAGCACCGATGAGACTCCTTAGATAAGTGAAGTGGTCAACACGCTCGACTACTTCACTCCCTATCACTAGTTCAGGTGCCGATGAAACCCAATCTTGAAGCAACATTTTGCATTTCGAGGGGGAAAACCGCATCCCGAACATGCTTGCATTGTTGCTTAGGGTGGTCAGAAGACTCTGCATGTTGTCAGCGTCTTCATTGAATAGAACTATGTCATCAGCATACTTTAAATCAGTAAGCGAGCCTTCTAGTAAAAGGTCTACTCCTGAAAAATATGCTGAGCTTAATGTTAACTCTAGGAGGATGTCTAGGACAAACCTAAACAAGAATGGAGAGAGTGGATAGCCCTGATGGACACCACTTGATGTAGAGAATTCAGATGACAGTTCGCCATAAGCTCTCACTCGACCAGTGGTGTTCGAGTAGAGAGCTTGTATAAGGTTAATGTACTTCTTTGGTACACCTTTCAATGACAGACACTGCCACAGAACCTCACGATCCACAGAGGCAAATGCCGCTTTTTAGGTTCAGGAACCTAAAACAACTATCGATCAACACCAAATTCAGAATTTTAGATACAAATGTCACGAAAGTTCTACTGTATGGGGCGGAAACTTGGAGAACCACAAAAGCCATCATCCCCAAGATACAAGTACTTACTAACAGTTATCTACACAATATACTGATGATCGATTGGCAAGACACTATCCTCCACAACCTACGACGGGGAGAGAACAAACCAGAATCCAGAAGAGTAAGAAGAAGCACTGGGAGTAAATAGGATGCACATTCAGGAAAGCACCTGAATGCATCATAAGACAGACATTCACGTGAACTCGCCAAGGCCAAAGAAAAGTGGAAGCACAAAGAATACTTTACACAGGGGAATGGAGACATACACGAGAAGAACGAACACCAGTTGGACAGAAATAGAACTAAAGGCACAAAACAGAGTAGGTTAGAGAATGTTCGTCAACGGTCTATGTTCCATTAGTGGTAACAGAAATATCAGAGCAAAGTGATTAAAAGATCACATGCTTTACTGGGTAAGTAATCATGCAAATTTTTTGTGAACTACATCGAAACGGAACCAATCATTTGAGTTGTTTTTCCCAAAAAAAATGTAATCAGATCGTTATCAAACTGATTCTCATATGTAATTCGATGAAACAGTTTGACGGTATACCACAATACTGATCTACATTTTCATTTGAATATTTTCTTCATCACGATCATACTTACTTACTTACTTGCTTACTTAATTACTTATTTACTTACTTACTTACTCACTTACTTACTTACTGACTGACTGAATGACTTACTTACTTACTTACTGACTGACTGAATGACTTACTTACTTACTTACTTACTTACTTACCTACTTACTTACTGACTGAATGACTTACTTACTTACTTACTTACTTACGCCTGTTGCCCCAATGGGGCATAGGTCACCGACCAGCAAATCGTTTTTCTGGTCAGCGTTTTTTCTAGGCGGGTTAGATTTCTACATGATGCGGGCACTAACCTCATGCCCAATCCTCCACTTTATCCGCTGGCTTGGGACCTGCAGTAACCCTAGAAGGGCTCCAGGCTTAGTTGTTTGCATCAACAAGCCAATGACTTAATCTATAGTTACAATGTTTTAATTTTATTGTCCATATCTATTTTCCAATCTATCGTCATGCTATCAAGTTACATCACAAAGAAAGTGGTTGTGGGCGAAATTTACTAGCTCAGATGGATAATTGTGATGGGAGATGTTCACTCAGCATGGTTGAAGAAGGGTCAGTCAAAAATAATACGCAGTTAGATCTTAGCACACCTGGTTGATAGTGATCATATTGTAGATAAGTCTAGATGTTTTCGAGTGATCTATCGTATACCTCAATCATTTCTCAACGGACTTCGATCCCGTCTCCTACACATTGCAGAAGCCGTAGGAATACGTACATTCAACCCTAATTTATGTGTTCAGAAGAAATTCGTCACACTCCAATCTCTTCCGTGGCCCGGATATGACGTAACTAACGATTGACACTATATTTTTTTTATCTTATTTTTAATTTTACATATTTGTTTATTACGTCATGGGTTTGATGTTTTTACAATGATTATTTGAAGTCTATTTATCCACGAGGTTTGACCTACTATTGATAAAACTTTAGTTATCATATTTTATAATTTTCTTACTACTATCAGTGCACCTGTCTTCTTACTATCCACTTGTACTTTTGCCTATTATATGTGGTGACGTAATCTATTTCATTTCATTGTGATTATTGACTCAAATTGCCTTGATTGGTTTAACATTTTCATATAAATATTCATATATATTAGCGAGTGTAAAGCCTGATGACGATTTAATCGAAAACAATATTGTTCGCTTATATGTGTTGTTCTAAGTAAGCTTATAGACAAAAAAAGGAATGGTTGCGCAACTTGTAAAGACCACTTACATGATTTTCTGTCTTGTGAAGTTCGAGTTCCCCATGGACAAATACACCTGTAATCACCGTTTGGTAGATCTAGACACTTCCCACCATTATGACATCGCTGAGGATCTTCCTCACATGGCATTTCTAATGATCAATAGTGAACAGAATTCATTAGTAAACATAAAAATTTCATAAGAAAGAGAATGTGAAAATATTATGTTGTGGAAAAGTAATTTGGTGTATTAAGTGGGTGAACACATACAATTCAATGGGATGTAAACTTTAATATGTTCCCTTTTTCTCAGAAATCCCTATCAAATATTTACATTGAAATCATTCATCAATCATTGTTAGACCACCATTAGAAACCTGGGAGCACTGAAAGACGGCTGTTTCGTCCGAGCGTGCATACACGACTCCTGCTAGTCACCGGATTCGAACCTAGGACCTTCGGTTTTGCTCATGAACGCTTAACCTCCCGACAACTGAGCCGGCAGTTAACGGTTTTGCTGTCTAACTCTAATCAATCTAAGGAATTTGCGCAAACTCATTTATTTTTTTTTCCGGAGGTAAAGCGTTCGCGCACAAGACCGAAGGTCCTAGTTTCGAATCCAGCGTCTAGCAAGAGTCGTAGATTCGTACTGCTAATGAATCCCATTCCAAGACAAAACGACCGTCTTTCAGTGCTTTCAGGTTCTTAATCGTGGTCTAACAAATTATTTTACGCATGACCTGCAGAATACTATTAAGAAAAAGTCAAATATTGACATTTTTAGGATGGTTGTTCCTTGCATCAAACACTTGAAAGCTATTTTTTATGTTTTTACGTTTAGCCTCAAATGAAAATACAATTTCAATAGGTATTATGTCCAGATTAAGAATTAGGCAGATTATTGATATGAAAAATAATATTATTTGCAGCATTCCAACGAATAGAACAGTCAAGATGTTTCTGAAGTTTTTTCACTCATTGTAAGACACTTCGTTAGAGTTACACATTTTTGAAACCATGAATCGACCAATGTTAGACCACCATTAGAATCCTGGAAGCACTGGATGGCCGTTTCGTCCTGGTATGGGACTCCTCAGCAGTGCGCATCCACGACTCCTGCACCCTTCAGGACTCCAACCCAGCACCTTCGGTACTGTGTGCGAACGCCCTAACCGTTAGACTACCGAGCCGGTATCCAACGGTGTTAATGTCTAACTTGATCAAATTCACGGAGTTGCGCAACCTCATACACAGTCTTCGGTAGACACTGCCTACACCCGAACAGGCTGAACTTCACTGTTCACGTCTTCCCGCTAGAATTCGGAGAAGATTCTTCACAAAGCTAGTCACTAGTGAGCATAGGTCATTTGCATTACGGGGTTGTGAACAAATAAACTAAGTAAATTCACCCAAGTTTAAATAGGACGCAGGAATAAATCAATCATTCAATAAATCAAGAGACAGGTCTGATTTAGTCAAGGTCATGTCACTCCGGTCAAGGTAATTCATGTGTGAGAATGGGTGTGAAAAACCTGACATTCGTGATATGAAAAGATTGAGTTGAACTTGTATATTTCAAAAGAAGGCGAGAATGTGAAAAGACCGCCTTACATGGACCATTAATTCAAGTGACCGATTTCTGATTTTACTCATAATATATATTATTATCATACATAGTAATTCAAATCTATCCTTTCATAATACAAATGTCACATTTTTCACAGCTTTAAAACATACACAATTATATGAACACATGTCATGTGAACAACCTTGACCAGGGTCACATGACAATGACTAGGTCTAATCTGTTTATCGAATGTACAAACTATCTTAGATTTATTGATTTATTGTACTATATAAACTTGGGTTTGACATTAGAAGCTATCGTTCTAAAAATGTAAATGTTTGATTTTCTTTTCACTACACTGTTCATAGATATGGTCCTGAGAAATTTTATCCCTGTGTTTTAACAGCTGTCGTGATATCAGTCCTATGCCCCGTTTCGATTATGTGCTTTGCTATCGATGAACATTGTTTTCTATTCCCCCGAGTCTATCGAGTCATCTGACGTTAACTGATTCTCAAGCCATTTAGGTACATGTACCATTACCCTTGATTGGAATGACTCCTATTCTACTCGCAGGATTCGAACCCAGGACCTCCGGTCTTGCACACGAACGCCTAACTTCTCTAATTACATTACATATTAATCTTAGGGATTAATTAACCTGCCAGGATCGGCATTTCATAATCCTTGATCAGTTGCAGTACAAAAAGGTCAGAGTTATGTAATCAAAGTGAAGCTATAGTTTTGCGTTAAATATACAAAACACAGTTAAGTTTTTCAACCCGTAACTGATATCAGCTTTATTGCAATGATTTATCATACATTGTGTTTACAAAATTATAAGACTTGGGGTTGAGATTTGCAGGAAAATTTATGTTTCAGAATAAATTTCTTCAGTTAATTGACAGGTATATTCACTGATTGAAAACAAACCAATGACCACTTTTCCCGCGGACAGTAGTAGCACAGTTCTGTAGGGCTCTGCGTACATGTGTGATTACACCACAGAATTAACCTAAGCTATTCACATTGTAGTGTAAAGGCTTGAAAAGTGTCTAGTTCTCTTGAAAACGAATGCAAATGTACCCGTTTACTTGTACAACTGATGAATTGATCGATTTTAGACCACCGTCAGAAACCTGGAAGCACTGAAAAGCAGTTTCGACCTGGTATGGGACTCATCAGCAGCATCGTGCATCCAGGACTCCTGCTACTAATCGGATTCGACCCCAGGAACTTCGGTCTTGCGGGAGAACGCCTAACCTCTGTACCACGGAGCCGGGACCTAGCGGTGTTAATGTCTAACTTCGATCAACTCAATGTCTCGCACAACTAAATTCACTGTCTTCGCTGGACAGTGCTTCCTATCCGAACAAGGTTGAACTCTACTGGCCATGGTTTCTCACTAGATCTCGGAGAAACTTCCTCACGGAGCTTGTCACTAGTGAGCACCTACTGATAAGTCTCATTCCAGGACAAAACGGTCCTCCAGTGTTTCCGAGTTTCAAATGGTGGTTTGAGATTGATCGATTCATGATTTGAAAGTCAGCTCAGTAATCTCCACGACTTGAAATTTTATCAACTCATTTGTTGATAAACATCTTTCTGTACTTACTCAAATGTTAGTTTACACATTGGAAAAAACTGTTCAAACATTATTATTTCACTAACAGAATACGGAAAAAATTCATTATATCAATTGTGTTAAGCCAACTTACTTAGCGTATAAACACAGTCTAATGTTGATTCGTCAAAATGTGTATTTTCTGGACAATGACATCTAAAATGTTATAAGATAAGTGAAACATTTCTTTTGCAAAAAAAGGTCCTAATTAAAGTTTGTTATTTCGAAAAATTTGATATTTTTCAATCAACAATTAAAAATTTTGAATAACAGAATGAAATATAATTAATTTTGATAAGTACAAAATATTTTGGCATTTAGAGTTGTAAGCAAGTATAGTGGAAATTCTTGGCTTGCAAATTATGTAGCGTAAATTGAACAAGTTTTCATGATTCTGATAAGAACTAGCTATTAGTAGAAATCTAGAAGTTGGCTACAAAGTCATTATTTCCGGCTTTCAGTAAACCGTATTGACGGGTGGTACTAGCGAAATCTTCAGTAATTGAATTATTCATTAGGATTGAGAGAATATTGTAAATTTGGTTCAGATTTTACTTACACCAGTTAGCTCTAACAGAGCAAAGGTCACCGACCAGCTAGTTAGCTTTTCCGGCTGGCGTTTGTTTCACCGAGTTAGATCTCTATGAGATGGGGTCGTTAAGCCCATGCGCAACCCTTCTCCTTTTATCCAGAGTTTGTACTGATTGTAACTCCAGAACAGCTCCCGGAGGAGTTTTCGTTTAGATTTAAAAATTATTTATTTCCATGTAAGTATGGATATTTCCCATGAAATCTGTACATAAGGAAGTGACTGTGCTGTAACACTATAAAACATATTCATTCACATCAACGAGGGTTCTATCCGTTTTGTACGTAAGGCAGTTCCTCATTGATGATACTACCAAATGGTCTTATAATGTCGTGGGTTCATTGAAGTTAGACATCATTAGCTTTGGACACTTGCCAAGTGGTCAAACGTTTAGGCTTTGACATGTGTTGTCGATGGTTCTAGGTTTGATTCTGGCCTAAAGGGTCATACTTCAGCACTGCTAATGAGACCTGCACCAGAATGAAACTTACATTTGGTGCTTCCAGGTTTTTAACTAGGATTCATTCATGATGAGTCCGCGAGACGAAAGTCACCGATGGTTAGAGACCTTGAATAACAGGGCGCAAAATCGTTTGCCATGGCTCAGGTGCATCCAGTTTTTGTGTTATCCCAAATCCTAAACTTCTGGATTAGTCAACACATCTACCTTTGTCTTTCTAAACCTATCTCACTGAATTATACTTGTTGAATATTATCTTCAAATCCTAATCTTCTTCATTACCGCTAATTCTTCTACTATCTCTACCACTATGAGATTTGAATTGACAATCGCATCTCTGTGTGCTAATGTGGTATGGTAACATAAACGGATGTGCTCACGTTTGAAATTCTACGTTGCAACTGACTGAATGACTCATTCATGATTTCAAGGTGAAATTATTCTTTGAGAAATTAATTTCATATTCTAACAAGTACTTACTTATATGATCCTTCTTCATTGATACATTGACCCCGTTGACAAACCCCATCCACTTCACATTCATTGATATCTGATTATGAAAAAAGATGTCCAATAAGGACTGTTGAATATTTGATAAATTCAATCAATAAATAACTTACTTACTTACTTTCTCCTGTTACCCCCAATGGAACATAGGCTGCACACCAGTTTTCTCCAACCAACACTGCCCTGGGCTTCCCTTTTCAATTCTGTTCAATTTTTGTTCATTCTTCTCATGTCTTTCGCTATTTCTAGGTGTATTGTGTTCCTTGGCCTTCCTCTTTTCATTTTGCCTTGAGGGTTCCATGTGAGGGCTTGTCTTGTGACGCGGTTAGGTGCTTTCCGCAATGTGTTTCTTATCCACTTCCACCACTTCGTCCTGATTTCCTCCTCCATTGGAATCTGGTTTGTTCTCCCTCATATAAGGTTGTTGCGGAAACTGACTGGCCAACGAATCCGAAGTATTTTGCGTAGACAACTGTTATTAAACAATTGTATCTTCTTCTTTGGTAGTTCTCCAAGTTTCCGCTCCATACAGTAGAACTGTCTTCACATTTGTATTGAAAATCCTGATTTTGGTGTCGATTGATATTTGTTCGGAGTTCCAGATATTTTTCAATTGTAGAAATGCAGCCCTTGCTTTGTCAATCCGCGCCCTCACATCTGCATCGGATCCACCTTGATTGTCGATGATGCTGCCAAGATATGTAAAGGTGTTAACGTCCTCAAAGGCATCTCCATCAATAGTGATTTTGTTGGTGCATGTTGTGTTGCGTCGGAGAATTTCAATTTTCCATTTGTGTATGTTGAGACCTGCTGCTGCAGAGACTGCTGCTACACTGTTCGTCTTAATCAATAAATAATACTATACATTATTCATTTAGAGTTATAAAGATTATTTTTTATGACTAAAAGCATGAATCAGTCATTGAAAGATCACCATTAGATGGAAACCTGGAAGCACTGGATGGACGTTTCGTCCTGGTATGACAGTAATAATGGGTGAGGTCATGCGAAATTCCAAATTCGTTCACAGTTAGAGATTAACACGAATGGATACTAGCTCACTGGTCCAGAGTTTAGGAGTCAAGACTAAAGGCCTTAGGTTTGAATTCTGCTAGTGGCAGGAGTCTTTAGATGAACACTGCTGATAAGTGTCAAATGAGGACGAAACGGCCGTCTTTCAGTGCTTCTGGGTTTCTAATTGTGGTTTAACTATAGGAAAACAAATTTCAATCATTCGAAATGAACTTGTCTGGTTAGTATATACACTAAATTACAGTTCTTTTTCGTTTCAAATGTTTAGGTATCATCAAAGTTATTTGTAAATGTAGTATTCAAGAATAATGTGTTGCAGTTAACCACTAGGGGTGATATAAAACGATAGTTGTATTATATCAACGAGTAGATTATAGTCCAACATGTAAATGTTGTATATTAACTGACTGATCTAAATGTTAGGCTCTGCTGCGTATGCCTAACCACAGACTGCCTCGACGAGCTTTGTTTTGTAGTGTAGGAATAGGTTGGAAGAAAGTTAGGGGCGGCCAAACCAAAACATGGCAGAAATCCATGAAATCATTGACAAGTGGACTGAGTCATGTCGTTAGGTGTCGACTACCTGGATGGATTATGCGAGATGATATTAATCGATGGTTAGATACCCTGAATGACATGGCTCAAAACCGTTTGAAATGGCGCCGGTGCATTTATTCTTTGTGTTCACTCTTCCGGATTTTTCAACCCCTCTAGTTTTGACTTTCTAAACCTTTTTCACTGAATCATACTTCTTGAATAATATCTTCTAATCCTAACCTCTCCGATTACTTCTGATACCTTTACTACCTCTTCTACTATTGGATTTGAATTGACAATTATATCTCTGTGCTGATGTGGTATGGCAACATGAAATGATGTGCTTATGTAGGAAGTTTTACGTTGCATATGACTGACTGACTAGGCTTTCACGATAAGACTGAAGGTCCAGAGTTCAACATCTGATTCAGCTGTTGATATATGTATATATATATATATATATATATATATATATATATATATATATATATATATATATATTACTGATAAGTCCGAAGATTGGACGAAAAATCTCCTACATGCTATTTTGGAAATCTTTAATAGTATACTGGTTGTGGAAAGTTGGGCTTGTATATATCAAACAAACTTACTTCCTTTCTTAAGTGTATGCGACAGTAAACTATTTCTGTGTGAACCGGATATATATTTTTATTAATATTCACATGTTTTATTTGAGGATTTATTGAATTACAAAGATGAAAATACATTTGAGCCATGTTAATTCACTTAATTTAAAGATTGTGTTCAATTCCAAACTACTAATATATATCTAATACACAAATTGAACTGTACGTAAAATGTCAGGAATCATGTAAAACGGTCCATATAGTTCATTGAGGAACGTTAATGAATTGCAGATTTTTGATTTATTAGTGTTAGTATTCTTTGAATTTGTACAAAAATTACACTTTTTGTAAGCTCAGTATCTACATATTTAGAAAAGAATCATAAAAGTTGATTATTACTGAAATCATGAGTCAGTTATTGTTAGACCACCAATAGAAAGAAACCTAGAAGCACTGGACGGCCATTTCGTTTTCACATGGGACTCATCATCATTGAGCATCAAGAAATCCTGGTACCCTCAGAATTCAAAACCATAATCTAAGGTCTTGTGCGTGAACACTTAACCTCTGAACCATTGAGCCGGCATCCAAAAGTGTTAATCTGTAACTCTGATCAATCTAAGGATTTTGCGCCACCTCACCCATTCTTAGACGCCCAACTTCCAGATCAACAGGCTGGATTTCGTAAGGATCGATCATGTACTGACCTAATTGCTACATTACGGATCATTGTGGAACAGTCGGTTGAATGGAACTCACCACTGTACATCAACTTCATCGACTACGAGAAGGCGTTCGATAGCGTGGACAGGAAAACACTGTAGAGGCTTCTTCGACACTACGGTGTGCCTGAGAAGATAGTTAACATCATATGGAATTCATATGATGGATTCAACTGCAAAGTAGTACACGAAGGACAGCTAACAGACTCTTTCGAGGTGAAGACCGGTGTCAGGCAAGGTGGCTTACTCTCACCCTTTCTCTTTCTCCTGGTCATCGACTGGATTATGAAGACGTCAGAATCTTTTGGGAAGCACAGTGTCAAATGGACAGCTAGGATGCAGATGGACGACCTGGACTTCACAGATGACCTAACTCTTCTATCGTACACGCAATAACAAATTCAAGAGAAGACGACCAGTGTAGCAGCAGCCTCTTCAGCAGCAGTAGGTCTCAACATACATAAAGGAAAAAGCAAAATTCTCCGATGCAACACAACATGCACCAACCAAATCACTCTTGGCCCTCTTCTGGAACCCTCACGGTAAAAGGGAAAAAGGAAGGCCAAGGAACGAATTATGCCGAGAAATAGAGAAAGGTATGAGAAGAATGAACAAAAGTTGGACAGAACTGGAAAGGAAAGCCCAGAACAGAGAAAACTGGTCAGAGACCTATGCTCCATTGGGGGTAACAGGCGAAAGTAAGTAAGTTACCCATTCATACCATACCAAGATGAAAACTCCGTCCAATATTTCAAGATTTCTTTCTAATGGTGCTCTATCAATGATTGATTCAAGAAAAAACAGTCTTCATAATCCTAAATGAAAAAGTTCACTAGCCAAATCCATATGACTTTTGTAATTTAATAAGTTAACTTACCTTTACATATACCATCAATTTGTTCATAACCTCTGCCACAATGTGTTGTATGACATATTTGACATGGTTCACCCCATGCAATCCCCAACGCATTACAACATAATTCATGACTTAATGGTATAGCTTCATAGCCATATTGAGATATTCTATATTGCAATGGATTAACACATAGGCCACGTTTTAAACCGGTATAACAAGCACCTTTTAATTGAACTATTAGAAAAAAAATTGAAAAGATTAAAAAACAAGACAAATGTAAAGTTCAATTTGAAAAAATTTTTTAGTAATTTGTCAGTTAAGAATTGTGAAGATAATTGAGTGTCATTGGAGTCATGAAATGATCAATGTTAGATCAGTATTGAAAGGCCGTTTTGCTTATAGTACGGGACTCTTGAATAGTGAGTTTTCACAACTGTTTAAGCGGAAACTGAACGCAATCCTTAACCTACGGATATGAGGGCGGTTGTCACTTCCCGGCTGCCCACACCGTGGAAGGCTGTTTCTTGAGGAACCTGAAAAGGAAGATAGATTAGTGTTGGTCTTAGAGAACTGGGTGCGTGACAGCAGAGTCCAAGGGAAAACCGCTTAAGGCCGGTCACGCACGGCCTTTTAATGAAAGGTGTTTTGAGGATTAGCTCCGTTCTTAATGGCCTTTAGTGGGCACCCTTACCGACGGAGACGGAAATCCGTGAAGTAGGGTGAGGTGTGACAATTTTTAGGGTCGACCTTTTCTAACCCTTCCTTCCTAGTGAGAAGGCAGCGTCGCTGCAGATGCTGGTTGTCCGAGGGAAACACCTTACTGCTGTCATACCCCTCTGCATTAGTCAGCAGTACGACTTCACCCTCAGACCTTGAGTAGCTGCTTTTAGTCTGATCATTCTCCAATCGACCTGCCTGTCATGGTAGAACCTTCAGGAACATATGTTCCAGCCAGTATAGCTCGGTTGGGTCATCACGACAGTCAAGCCTGACCACTACGTCAGGGTAGCAGCTACGGTCGGGACCCTTAACCTCGTGAGTATGCATACAGAGATATTAGTGTCAATCCGTGATATTGCGCAATACATGTCGATTGTCTTCGGCAGGCAACTGCCTCACACTACATTGGTCATGGCATCTCATCAGCACTTCAAGAATTCCTTCTCGTAACTAGTCACTAGTGAGAACATGATAAGTTTCATCATAGGGTAACGGAGATTTCATTAAAATCATAAACCGATAGGTGGGATATCATCACGTTTGTAATCACTTACTCTCTGTCACACCAACTACGAGATGCAGGTCAATCTAACTAACGGGTCTCGAAATGGACGAAAAGCGCGTCTAGATCTATACTGCTAGCTACCTTCTATACTAATAAATCGAACCATAGCTGTTTAATACACACTTATTTCCATTTTTTGTGATTTCGGTGTACACTTTAAACTAGCTTTAGATTGACTAATCTTAACAAACTGATCAAATTCATTCCCAGTTTAAAATAACTAACTGATCAGTAATCTAGAATTTGTAATATTCTGACCTATTGTGTAGACATTTATTTTATTTCCTTGAATTAATAATTTCTGTCAATATAATTCCGTCGAACTAACATTCAATTCCATCATCTCTAAACATTCTCTTTCGATGGATGCGCACTGCTGATGAGTCCCATACCAGGACGAAACAGCCGTCCAGTGCCTCCAGGTTTCTAATGGTGGTCTAACAATAATTGATTGATTGATGATTTGAAATGTGTAAAAACACAAAACCTCCAAAACTCTGACCGAAAATAAAGAATATTTGTTAGAAAATATCGTGATTCAATCTTCAAAATTAGTTTCGTTCTTTTGGAATTGACAAGCATTGATAACATTTCAGAGTTTTACAATGAAATTTATGTGAGGAATACAAACTTGCATAGTTTAGGAAAAATCTGATCTTGATCATTTCTAGATAGTTTGTCGAAAATGTCATTGTACTTAAAAATAATGATGGTTGTCTAACTAATTGCTTAGTTAAATATCATCTGAAATTCCAGCAGACTTTCTATTTTTTTTGGAAATTCCTACATTACTGAAAAGGAGAAATATTCAGTGTAGAAATCTATCCATATCAATTCAAATTCTGTTAAATTTACAGCTAATGTCTGATAGTGAATATCAATAAGTTTAATTCCGGTCATCTGATAAGACGGTGAGAGTTAATATTTCATTATTGAAGCTTTACAATAACAAATATTGTACTAAACGGTTGTGGAGACTGTTGAGTTACTTTATGAAATCATGAATCGTTCAATCTTCGACTAACATTAGAAACTTGCAAGCAATGGAAGACGGCTATTTCGTCCTGGTATAGGACTCGTCAGTAGTAAGTAGCGGCAGCTCCTTCTACTAACACGATTTGGAACCAAGAACCTTCGGTCTTGCTAGTGAACGCCTAACCGCTGGATCACTGAGCCGGTATATGACGGTGTAAATGTCTAACTTCAATCAATTCACGGTGAGCACTGCTTCACACTCGAATAAGGATCAACTTCACTGGTCATGACTTCTCACTAGAACTCAGAGAAACTTTCCTCACCGAGCTAGCCACTTGTGAACACAGGTAATCGCGCGCAAAACCGAATCCTAGGAGTTACAGCAGTCGTGGATGCGCACTACCTATGAGTGCCATACCTAGACAAAATGGCAATTCACTGCTTCCAGGTTTCTAATGGTGGTCTTGCATTGACTGATTCATGATTTCATGAAATATCAACTGTATATCTAAATTATTCTGATACATTCCTAAGTGACAAACAATTTCCACTTCATCTAGTCATTTAATATTACCCATATTCTATTGATCGATGTGTAATGTGGTTAATAGTGTAAGTACCTCAACAAGTCTCATGTACTTTACATAGATCTTTGGTGATTGGAGGTTACTGACCGAAATCCACGACCCACTATTCATAAATAGATGCAAATAAGTCTAAAGATAGATTACTTTTGATGATAAATAAGCTGACTAAATGGAATACTATATTGTGCACTATAGGAGGCACATGTTTAAACTTGTCGTGACCTTGTAAACTAGTCTGTGTGTAGATAAACATTGTGGTTTCATTCATGAACTGCTTCGTTTGTATTTCTACATATTTACGCTTACAAACGAGCATGTGTAATTTTGTTTTGTCATCTCAAGGTCATACACTGTTGGTTATTGTCATAATAATGATAATCTTGTCGATTTTTCTACAAAGGATCAATAAATGATAGCAAAGGTACCTGTTACACTTGAAAATAAAGTGTAGTCAGCGGATAAACACAGAAATAGGAGTTTATTAATTTGAAGCAACAGATCAACAGAATGACGATGATCGAAAATTGAATTCTAAGGATAGACCTTGGGACTATCATATATGAAATTCATAAGTTACTTTTAGAAAGATCGTAATTAATAGAACAACCAAATAGATTTAAGACTACGACTTTTGAATTTCGACACTAAATTTACAATCAGTCGGCAACAACGTAAAACTTCGTATGTACTTACATTAGTTCAAATCACCATACCACATTAGCATAGAAACGCAATTGTCGATTCAAATCCCATAGTAGTAGAGGTAGTAAAAGTATTAGCAGTAATGGAGAATATTAGGGAGCGAAGATATGATTTGAGAAGTATAATTCAGTGAGATAAATTTAAAACGAGAAAGACAGAGGTGACGATGAATTCAGTAGATTAGGATTTCAGAGAACTCAAAGAATGAATGAACGTGCGCCATAATAAACGGTTTTGAACCATTTCATTCAAGGTCTCTAACCATCGGCTACTATCACCTCGTGAACCCTAACCAGGTAGTCGACACTTACTAACGTGACTTAATCCAATTTTCAGTGAATTCATGGATGTGTACCATGTCCGAACCACGTCAACTGATGAAGTTTCAATAGCGCATCTATCGGTTTGTCATCTCACGGCAATATTAGAATAGATGAAAGATCGTCCATAAATTAAAGTCTCTTTGTCATTTCCTTGTAAGTTGTTCAAGGGTTCAACTTGTACAAAACCCCATTGCATTTGATAAATTTGTTTTCACAATTAAGATATGAAATAATTTGCCATTTTAGAATCAAATAATTAAATTTGGCAATGTTGTCATTCAGTAAAATGGCAGGTTAATCATACATTTATGTCACCTATTTTTTGAACTGTACGAATACTGCAATTCAAAGGACCTGTTTTGATGAAATATTCATGAATGTCAACTAACCCGAAATAAGTAGCTGGGCTTATTGCCTAATTACTACTGTTACCCACGATTGGAGCATAGACCGCCGGCCAGGATTTTCCATCCTACTCTGTCCTGGACCTTTTGCTTCCTATTTCTACCCAATCGCTATCCATTCCTTTAATGTCTGTCTCCGATTCTCGGCGTAATGTGTTCTTTGTTTTGATTGATTTCTCTTGTCCTTGAAGATTTCAGGTTAGGGCATGCGTCGTGAGGCAGCTGGAGTCTGGTATTTTACCTCTCATAGTAGGTTCTTTGAAGGATTTCACAGTTGTTCAATTTTATGCTCAGTCTCCCTTCCCTGAGAATTATTTCGACGGTTGTCTACGCAAAAGTTTTCGGATCCGTTAGCCAGACAATATTAGCAATAACCTTCTGTTGGATAGAAGAAACCAGATTCCAGGAGATAAAGAAATCAGGAAGAAGTGCTGGAAGTGGATAGGACACACTTTAGGGAAAGCACGCGAATGTGTCACAAAACAAGCCTTCAATTGGAACCCTCAAGGTCAAAGTAAGAGAGGAAGACCAAACAACACGTTACGCAGAAAAATGAAGACAAACATGAGAAGAATGAACTGTAGTTGGACAGAACTGGGAACGTAGTTCAGAGACAGAGTAAGTTAGAGAGTACTGGTCGGTGGCCTATGCTTTATTGGGGGTGATAGACTTAAGTAATTAAGTAATTAAGTAAGTAAGTAAGTAAGTAAGTAAGTAAGTAAGTAAGTAAGTAAGTAAGTAAGTAAATAAGTAAGTAAGTTTCCCTTTTCGGAACATCGGAAAAACACTCAACTATAGTCGTAGACGGTAATTTCACATTGGATGGAAATTGACTAAACGCTCTCTAAGAACAGAAATAGCCATTATTAACAAAAAAGCTCAAAGATACAACACTTACCTTCACATTTTAAACCGCTATATCCTGTTTGACAAATACACACACCATTTTCACACTTTCCATGCTCATTACAATTATCTGGACATTGACCTTTTTTTTTAAAGAAAAAGATAATAAGAAATTTGATTTGATAATATGATTTTAAAATATCCGCATGGATGATATCTTATAGAAATCTGTTCATTCTCAGTTGGAAAATTAATTTCCTCCATTATTGTCCAAACAGAAAACCAATTTTACATTGAGAGAGTTATGAAGGTTATTGATAGTGTTAAGAGTATTGTAGTAGCACCAAACAATGGTAATGTCTAACTTTAATCAAAGCTGAGGTTAACAGAACAAGCTACGCGTCAAACGTCGAGAAATTCGAATGCTTCACTTCTATATGACGTTTGTGCTGATGATGTTGTTTAGAAGAAGAACGATGATAGCTCCACAATCAAAACATCCAGCTCCAAAGACTAAACACCACCACAATCATCCACCTGAACTAAAAGTGTTCTCCACCATCTTAGCTTCAATCAATTTGCGTTATTGCACAATACTCGTCATCTGTTGTGTGGGGTCAATAACTAACTGTCTTACACCCAATTAGACTGAGATACAACTCAGTGGTTTAAAGGTTTATCATTCACATGCGTGACCGAAGTTCTTCGGTTTAAATCCTTTATGAAGAAATATAGATATACGCTATTGAGAAGTCTCATGATGTAGAAATCTTGTAGCTCAGATGGATGATTATGGTAGAGTTTCATTCTCTGAGCTGGATGTTCCAGTGGTGGAGCTTTCATTGTTCTCCTACTGAACAACATCATCAGCTGAGAGTCAAACATGAAGAAATTCGAATCTAAAGTTTTTGCTAATGATATTGTTCATAAGAAGAACGATGAAAACTTCACAATCAAAACATCCAGCTCTGAAAACCAAACTCCACCACGAGGAAGAAACTGCTGTTTATTACTTCTCATCATTTTTAATGGTTGTAATCTTAGTAAAAAGCAATCGTTAACATACAGATTGAAGCAGTTGATGAGTCTGCGAACTTAGTTATTTTTCGTACAAATAAATAACATTTCTAGGTGAATTATTAAAAAAACCAAAGATCCATAAACACCAAACTAATAACTATTACACACAAAATGTAACAAAGAAATGATAGTTTCGAATTAATGATTTGAAAACAGATGATTTTCCTTGATTGTCAAACTAAATCATAAAAACGTACATTAATTCTCGTCAATAAATCAAATGACGCTCCGATCTATGATATCACAAAAAATGATAACAAAAGACCGCAGGTGTTACTAGTAAAACTTTGAGTTCATGAAAACGAACATGGATTACATTGAAGGCAACGATTATGAACAAGAAAGGTTCATCTTAACAAGTAAATCCTCAGAAGTCGAGATCCAAAATATCATCATGGATCAAACACAGGTCCTTCATTACTTTTAGCGAAGCGACCCCTTGACTTGTCTAAGCCGTTGAAATAGTGCTCAGTGGTGATTATTCATGAAATATTCCAATTCCTGTAGTGAGTAACTGTCTAACACACAACACCGTTTGATTCTACTAGGATAGATTATCGCGTTAGAATGTAAGATTCACTTTTGAAGGCTTTGTTTGTGAAAATCCCTCCATGTATACATTTCTAATTTGTCATTATTGATTCCTTCAGTTGTACATTTTGTTAGCTTGTTCTATTCCATTTGAGATGATAATATTTGTATTTTATTATAGTTTCTATTTCTTTTGCCTTTACTAAGTTTCAATGTTTCTTTCTGAACTGAATTTATGTTGTTTAAGCTGATACTTTTTTTTTTTTGAATTATTTTTTCTGGTTAGCGTTTTTTTGGCAAGTTAGTTTTTGACGGAATGGGGTCGCCAACCCCATGTCCAACCCTCCTCCTTTACCCGGGCTTGGGACCGGCAGTAGCCCCGAAGGTTCTACTGGCCTTCCTCTTTTCCTTTTGCCAAAGAATACATTACGCCGTGAAATAGAGAAAGATATGAGAGGAATGAACAAACATTGGACAGAACTGGAGAGGGAAGCCCAGGACAGAGTTGGTTGGAGAAAACTGGTGAGCGGCCTATGCTCCATTTGGGGTAACAGGCGAAAGTAAGTAAGTAAGCTGATACTTAGTCATGGCGACAGCCATATTGATTTGTTCCTCTTTTGATTGTGTCGGTTGCTTGCTTTGACTGGAATTGTGCATTTTGATTGTAAATTGAAGCATCCTTTCGAGATAGGATACACTCTGTGTTATGAAGCAACCAAATATTATCTTTTGAAGGAATCTGATCTATCCAGAAGGGAAGGAATATCATTTATTTGTTACTGTTGATTTGATTAATTAAACAATTGTTGGTGGAATAACTGAGTGGTTTAGGTAATGATGTATATTTATATTTATGATGAATATTAGAATCGTTATTAACCCAAATCACTTGTTTCGGCTTTAAACTGGGTAATTCGTGTATCTAAACTACCTGGACAGTTATTCTCCAATCCAAACCTCATTTTGGATACTACATAGAATTCCTCTAACCTGCAAAAACTAAAATAACTTTTATCGTACACACAACTGTTGTTTTACCGGAAAAAAATCAAAGCTATTCAAAAAGACTGTCATTAATTCCAAAAAAGACATTCTCTAGTGAAATTTACAAAGTAATTTTTAAAGTTTTTTAATCCTGTCAACCGGCAAAAATACACAACCATTGATATTTATTCACATTACTAAGTGTATAATTCTGATTTAATTTTTTCAGAAGAAAAAATTATTTCTCAGTCATTTTTTGCATCGATTAAATTGCAAATATTTGCAAGTCTTCACTGTTATTTTATGAAACTTTCGCATTGTTTCAAAATCATTCTCAAGGTCGTCTCGTTCAACACCCCGCCTGATCATATTGAACAGTGAATTCCACAAACAAATATTTATCATTGAATGAAACTATTTAAAACTACATTCAGGTAGGGTAAAAAACTAAAACCAACTGTTCTAAATATTTAATTTTTAAAAACTATTTACAATAATATATAAATCAAATGCTTTTTTTAAAAAAATATCCATTTACAAATTGTAAGAAAATACCAGCATTTAAAACAAAATGAACTTTACAATAACCAAGTTAATTTTGTTAATAAAGTCAGCTGATGATATATACATGTGGTTTTTTTTATAGTGTGAAATACTTTGGTAAGTGAACAAATACTGTAGTCCAAAATAAGTAATATTTTTGTTGCTACCGGAAAAGAAGGAGATGATGACAATCATAATAATAGTAATAATAATCATTTTTGTACAAAAACATTTACAAATTATTCACTATGTAAAGGTCAATTGTGTTCTATTGAGAAATGGCAAATGGAAGTTAGAAAGTTCTAGCCGATTTTAATGTATTCTATAGTAAGTTATAACATGACATTGGATCAATAATGAAGGAATATTTGATTTTTTTCGTATGATGGTGATAACATCCCTGGAAAAGTGTGTGATCTTATGAGCATTTATGATCTTGGAAACGATTACAGATACATTTGAAGTTTAAAGTTTATAACCATTTAGCGAAATAGCTGTTTCGTTCTTCACTTTTGAAAATGTCTGGTTTTCATTGAAATCAATCATTTCTAGACCACTATTAGAAATCTGGAAGCACTGAATTATGGTTATTTCTTGATATGGGAGTCATCTGCAATGCATATCCACGACCCTTACCACCAACATGAATCTCATGTGAATGCCTAACCTATGAACCATCTGTTAAGCTCGTCGATTGGTATGCTTGAAACTATTACGCGGTTCACCTTAGTCGATAAACGAGAACGAGACAATGAACCAGTGACAAGGCAGGCTAATCTGAGCCGTTGCGCCAAACTAACTGACGGAAAATTCTTGATATGACGTAGAAAGTGTATTATACAAACACACAACAAACACAATGATCTCAAGCGCACGAATCGAGGTTATTTACACATGACAGAAACGTCCTTAGTAGAGTCACAAAAATAGCACACTAAAATAACACAGTAACCAATCGCAGTCAAGGGTTCCCCTGATGGGAAATGTGATTTCAAGGTCAACTGGTCAGCCCATGAATAAAATCCCAAATTAAGAGATTTATTCTATGATCTAACGTCCCCAACACCATCGTGCCGGCATTCAACGGTGTTTATGTCTAAACTCGATTGATCTAAGTTTTTTTGTGCAAGCACATCAGCTTCGTGAGGAGATTCTAGGAGATATATGACCAGTGAAGTTCAATCCTATCGAATGTAGGCAGTAACTACTACCAAAGACATGATTTCAACAAAACGTATGTGTGTCAGATTTGTTTGTAACGGTTAGTAAGTAAACATAAGAAGTTATTTTTCCAAGATTTATGATTAAACTCATCTCATGTTGTTAGACATGACTGAAATAATTTAGAATAAGCTTACATTTTGATAAAATGGTTACCTAATTGAAGATTGTAATCATTAGTTTAATTGTGTGATTTATTTTCCAATCAACAGGTGACATCATTGAAATCATGAATCGATCAGTTAGACCACCACTAAAAATCTGAAGAAGCAACTATCCAGTGCTTCTAGGTTTTCAAAACTACTTGAAAATTGATCAGTTCACTGGTTTCAATACAATTCAACAATGTCATTAGTTACCAGATTGAATTAAATATAAAGTCAACATATAATTAGATAGTCCTTAGTCACTTCAAATGATGTATCTGTGAAGAAGCGGATACTTACTTACTTACTACTTACTTACGCCTGTTACCCCCAATGGGGCATAGGCCGCCCACCAGTTTTCTCCAACAAACTCTGACCTGGGCTTCCCTCTCCAGTTCTGTCCAATGTTTGTTCATTCCTCTCATATCTTTCTCTATTTCTCTGCGTAGTGTGTTCCCTGGCCTTCCTCTTTTCCTTTTCCCTTGAGGGTTCCATGTGAGGGCTTGTCTCGTGACGCGGTTGGGTGCTTTTCGTAGTGTGTGTCCTATCCACTTCCACCGCTTCTTCCTGATTTCCTCCTCCACTGGAATCTGACTTGTTCTCTCCCACAGTTCGTTGTTGCTGATCATGTCTGGCC